TTGTTTTTTTAATCTCGACTAAGTAAATGTAATTTATAACGCGACGTTTATTAAACCAATTTAAATGACACAATTGTGGTTCATTTCAAAAATGTTTACTTACTTTTAGTCGATATATATATATATATATATATATATATATATATAAATGGTTTTTTTATATATTTTTTTTATTTTATAAACATAATACGATCAACTTAATAATTATTTAGATATAATATATATTTTTAATATATATACTAATAATTAGAACGTTTAAATGTTACATATTTAATATTACACACACTTGTTGAGAAGAAAAAAAAAAAGAAATAACACAATAATTAACTTTCTAATTCCTATGGAAAAGAAAAAGAAGAAGACAATTATGTAAATCATAGTAAAAAAAAAAAAGGTAATAAAAAAGTACGAATCGATCAAGGAATTTTGAAAATGCGCGCGAAACGAAGGTAGCGCCGTCTAAGTGCGCGTTAGCGGGAATTTTAAATACGTACGATAAACAACCCTAACCTTGTTTAAAGATTTTTTCCTGAGATTGATGAAAACAAACTTATCAGAATTGTTGAATCATCGTGAGTGTAACGTCACATTGAAATGGGATTCGATTATCAAGCTTAGAGTGTACAGAAAACAATTCGAATAAGTAATGAAAGAGAAAGAGAGAGAGAGAGAGAGAGAGAGTTCAGTAGGTCTTTACATCAGGTGACTCAACACAACAACGAAAACGAATAAGGTAACAGAGTGCGAGTTGGTAATAGAGTTTGCAAGTTCGAATATTGCTTGAACATTCAATGACAAAATGAAAGACCTTTCCGATGCAGAGATCGGGAACAAAAGCTTCGACGGCCAAGCTTCGTGAATTTTAGCAGTGGTGGGGGTAGGGTAGGGTAGTAGTGCAAGAGTAGGGCGGTAAGGAGGATAAAGGGTGGTAAGAGAAATAAAGAAAAAAAAGAAACAGAAAGAGAATGAGAATGAGAGAGAGAAAGAGTGAGATGGATGGAAAAGAACGAAAGGGAAAACTCGTTTAAACTCTTTCAATACGCCGAGCGTAAAATTTGTACGTCGGGCAAAGCTCGAAGAAGAAATTACCACCCGCGTGGAATATAAATCCGGGTTATTTCCTTCGAGAGTCGCTTCTGCCCTTTTTATATATATATATATATATTTTTTTTTTATAGTACTCAACGAAAAATGAATAGAGATAGAAGATAGAGTAACATAAAAAGAGAAAGAAAGAGAGAGTTTAGTGAGAAAAGGAAGAGAATTGATGAAGAGAAAAGATAAAAGAGGAATGGAAGAAGAATCTAGAAAGCCCGTTAATCGCACGTATTCAACAAAATTCGAATTCTCGCGAAAATGTCGATCTCAGGCTTGACGAGATCACCCGATAATAACGAGCAAAGACTAGTCACAAAATTTTACTCTGGATCGTTAATGGATCGTTCAAATGATCATATATATATTCGTATATATGTATTTATGTATATATGTATGTATGTAGTTATTGAATAAAATGAAATAGCATTTTCCTCCTCGGGGCATTGATCGTACGAACTTCCTAGTAGAAATTTCCGTACAAAATTTTCCATTTCTATCTCTCTCTCTCTCTCTCTTTCTCTCCATTTTCTTGTTATATATATATATGTATAGTAGGGTATAGAATTTATTTGGAATAAAAGTTACAAAAAGTTTGTAATAAATGTCGAAATTTTCTATTAACAACAAATTCAAGTCTCATTCATTTGAATAGAAAATTTGCATAATAGTTTTAGAAACAACATGTGTTTTATAGAATGTCTCTCTAATAATATTTATTTATATATTAAATTAAATATATAATTATAATTATATTTCTCTAATTTATATATTAAATAAATAATAAATAAATTTATTATTATATTATATATATTTTATTCAAATATATAAACATTTCATAGTATAACACAATAAATCCAAATATAAAACATAATCAAAACAACATCTCAACTTATTTAGCATTTATATCCTCCAAATAAATTTATTAAATTAAATAATAAATAAAATAAAGTAATATAATAATAAATTTATTAATTAAAGAATAAATAAATTAAATAAATAAATTTATATATTAAATAAATTATAAATATATTTTAAATAATTAATTTAATAATTACGAATTTATTTAAATATATATTAAATAATTTTTATAAATACGACATAATATATAATATAATAATAAAAATTATACGATATATTATAATTATATTATAATAGAAAAAACAAAAATATATTAAAAATTATATAATAATTAATATATGTATATTTAAATATAGGATAAAAAAAAGTGGTAGGTTGAAAATTTTAAATTAAAAAATATGCTACGATATTATTTATTATTTTAATCTCTCCTTGCTTCTTTCTGTTGCTTTCTCCCCCTCACCCTCTCTCTCTCTCTCTCTCTTTTTCTTTTTTTCTCCTTTTTTTTTTCATTTTTCAACTTGGCAATAACGATTTGTTTATACGGATTAAAAACTCGTCTATATCGTAAATATCGAACTAGTAAAGATCTTCCTTGCAACGAAAATTCGATAGCTTTTAACGTTTTTCTCTACTCTGCTTACTCTTTTTATCTTCTTTACTTGAAGCTTTCCTATATTCATTCGAAAATTTCTTTTCTTTTTTCTTATTCTCATAAATAAAGAAACGGAAAATGGAATTTAAAAAAAGGAAAAAAAAAGATATTACACGCAAAAGAAGGAACGAAAACAAAGAAAAGAAAAAACAGGAGGTGCGAATTGGTTGTTTAAAAGAAAAAAAGAAAGAAAAAAAAGAAATGAAAAGAAAAAAAAGAAATGAAAAGAAAAAAATGATCACATTCATCATCCCCCGATTGAAACTTTCAATGCATTTAACCATTACAAGAGTATGAGAAATACGAGAACGGTGGTCTCTTCTCTTCGTACAGAATTGAACGAGATAAAATTATCTTTTTATCTTTAGGTCGTCGCGTAATAAAGAAACGGTCTTGAGTCTCACATATGTGTGTCTCTCTCTTCTTAAAAAAAGAAAAAAAAAAATAAAACTAAAAAAAGGGCCGATGTATTGCTTTAAAGGAACGCGCCGCGCCGACTACTATCTTAAACACTCTTTCGTATTAGTTTTATTTTTCTCGAATATTCTCAAAAATATCATCACACATCGTTCTATATTTATTGGGTCAAACCATATGAGTAATTTCGAAGAATTTTACTAATTTATCTTTTTAATTAATAAGAGTATAATTTTGTTGTGTTTCAATTAATTATTATATTATTTTATATTACATTGAAATAAATCAAAAAAAAATAAATAACAACCCATATGAGTAATTTTGGAGAATTTTAATAATTTATCTTTTTAATTAATAAGAATATAATTTTGTTGTGTTTTAATTAATTATTATATTATTTTATATTATATTGAAATAAATCCAATATATTCTCTATTTTGAATTATTTTATTATATATTTATTTTTTTATTTATATACATATATTATGTACTTTTAATATATATTATTAAAATATATTATTAATTTATAAATATATTTATTATTTTATTAATATAATTGAATGATTTTATTTCTCTATTTTGAATAATAAAATTATTGGATATCTTATAAACCAAATAAAACTGTTCTTATCTTATCAAAAATTACCACGATTATAATATTTATTGTCAACTTACGCATATTGTCGGATTTTAATTATTAAAAGTATAATTTTGTTGTTTCACAATTAGTTATTATATTATTTTAATTATATTTAAATAAATCAAATGTTTTGTTTATTTCGAATTACACAATTATTGGATATTTTATAAACCAAATAAATCTGTTCTTATCTTATCAAGAATTATCACGATTATAATATTTATTGTCACTTTACGAATATTGTCAAATAAAATTTAAATAATTTATATTTAAATTAATAATATTATTTAATTAAATTATTGATTAATTATTTAATTATATTAAAACGAATATAAATATTCATTATATTCTTAAAATCGAAATAAATAATATTGCAATCTTTTTTCTTTTTATTTCAAAAAAAAAAAAACAAACAAACAAACAAATGTTCAACATTTCATATCCTTCAACTTTAGAATTTTATTTTTTCCAATAGAAAATTCTCCGAATTTATTTGACCAACCGAATATATTTTCTTCGAAAGAAAAAAATTCTGTCCTCCACCATCCCCCTCCTCTTCGTTTCTCCAATAAAAATCGTCAAAGTTAGCGAATAAAACGGACATTAAAAGAAGAGAGAAAAAGAAAGAGAAAGAGAAAGAAAGAAATATTTTAACGCTCTCGCAGAGTTAATCGTTCGTGATTGGTAGCAATTAAATTCGTAAGATAGACTGGAGACGTTGTTACGAACTACTGGGATAAAAGAATACCGAGGGGGTGGAGGGATGAGAGGGCTGTATCGAGAAACGGTGTGACGAACGATAAAAAAAAAAAATTAGAAAAAGAAGAAAAAAAAAAGAAACAAAAAAAAAATAGAAGAGATCCAAACGTTCGATGGGAACGCTCGTAAGTTAATATTCCAAAATAAGAGAAAAAGAAAATGGGGGAGGAACTGTGCTTGGTACTCGTGGGTGCCGGCAAAAGCGATGGCTAATTACCGGCACTAAAAAGCGAATAACAAGAGAGTTATACGATTATCGGAGTAATAAACTTGGAAATACGATGATGTACTGATAAACCTATGTATGATAAGTACATATATATTATATATATATATATATATATATATACATATAATTTATAATATATGATATAAATACGTTCGAATAAATCTCAACAATTCATAGACATATAATCGTATATTATTTTCATCCGATTAAACATATCATTTGTTAATATATTGTTCATACATTTATATAACAATCTAACGTTAACATCTAAAAATGTACATATATCAATTAATTTATCGATCAATTAAATGAATGCAAAATAAAGAAAATAAATATAACATTACCTGTTAGATGAATAACGTAACATAATCCCAAGATGAATAACTGCATCATTTTCGGTCGAAAAATGATAAATGAAATTGTTCGAACGAAAGATCCAGAGATACGGAAATAAAATTAAACTCTTCACCCTTCCTTCAACTTCATGTCCCCCTTTTTTTTTTGGTCTTCCTTATCTTCCAATATATATATAACTTTGAAGTTTAATCTTCTTATTGTCTTGACAATTTGATAATATACGAATAATACGTATACCCCCCCCCCAATAAAAAGTTTTATAAAATGATACACACAATTTTTCTTAAAGGGGAATGTTTGGTGGTGGTGGTGGTGGAAGGTAGGGGTTGGTTTGGGAGAGATGTTAGAGGAGTTGTAGACCAAGGGAACGATCAAACAATCTGATAAGTAATATCGATAAAATAAAATGGATTTACGATAGTAGGAAAAGGAGGAGGATTGTAAGAAGCTTACCGGACCGTGGTGTTGTATGACACACGGGAACACCGTACACACAGCGTGCTACGAGACCAGTTCGAAGACTGAGTCCGAGTTCGTATTCCGGAGGCTGACTTCTCTCGGCCCTACCAGGGTACACCGGACTAGTAGTGTGTTGCCCGTCCGTTGCCCGCCTCTGGATAACGTTTCCTTCCACCATTAGGCACACACGCGGTATATACCACGCGACGACGACATACATCGTGCCAAGACGACCTCCCGAGGGGGAACCCGTTGTACGTTAAATCGAGGATCAAGATCATCTCGCATTTCTTTTTTCTTATCCTCCTTTCTTCGTTCTTACCACCAGCAGTACCAACAACACCAACCATTACTGATTTACACCACATAACTATTCCTAATCATTTCATTATATATAATCCCATTTTTATTTGAATCTTTTGATATTGATAATCTGAAAAAATGTAAATTTATATATTAGATTTTGTTTTGTTTTTAGTTTTACATTTGATTTTAGTAGTATCACTTGGATTATAAGAATTAATTTAATAATGAATTTATTTGTCATTATATTTTGTGGGATGATTTAATGTTTAATTTATGTATTAGATTTTGTTTTGTTTTTAGTTTTCAATTTGATTTTAGTAGTATCAATTAAATTATAAGAATTAATTTAATAATGAATTTATTTGTCATTATAT